ATTTTGTGCTGACGCTGAGACTACTTTGTGCTCATTGATCTTCATTTACAGGAACGTCAGTATCATCAGTCTTTATCGGATGAGTCTCATAACAGTAATATATTTGAAATTTGTATTTGTCTCTACCGAGACCTAGGCCGATTTAGGGATTAATCAAATCCCCTCGAAGAATATGATGATTTAAATTTTAAATAATTTTTCATGGTAAAACACAGTTAATCAATAAGTACTTTTTAATCTAGTTGACATTTTTTTCCAATGTTGGTTTTATTATCCATTTAAAAAAAAAAATGTATTTAATGTCCAATTAGGAAGTAACAACTAATAACCTAATTTGTTGTTTATAGAAAAATAAAATTGAATTATCGCTTTGTAATTTGATACGGATAAAATAATTAATATCATACATATATATGTATATATACTGATAACCGAGCAATAAATTAGATCATAAATAAAAAATACAGGGGTAAGACGTTCCTATTTAAATGACGAAATTTTTTGCGTAATCTGTTAAATAACTGTAATTTTACAGAACCGATAAATTTTGGAACTAACAGTTTACAGAAGGGCATTTTATGCGACCCGGTATTAGGATTCTAAACACAAAACTTTCAGAACAGAATCGCCGTTGTGTCCGTCCTTCTTTATAATTACGGTTGTTGGTTTGATTAATTATTATAAAGTAGTTTTGTTATTTATTAAAACATCGAATAAAAATCATACTGGCCAATGTACCTAAGTATGAATAGTTATTTAAAGCATTTTAAATGTGTGTTAACGTTTTCAAAAAAATGCTCTGTCGACTATTTACAAATTAGAATATTTAATCCATTTCGGTTTCTACACGCAATAATATTATACAAGGGACGCTACTATTTTTTGTACACCTTTTATTTTTCCGATTCAAGCACCGTCTGAAATACGTTTAAAAACCGGGAACTCCATTTCCGCTCACAGAATGGACAATTATAATATTCTTTCTTTATGTGTTATTTTCTGAAAAATAGCATAGCGTGACAGTAGTTGAATAAATCACAATCCAATGTGATATAATAAAGTGACTATGTACAGTGCATTATATCCGGGATACTCGGTACACACATTTTAATCCAATTTATCCGTGTCGATAATATTATTTTTTTCGTGTATTTTTTTTCCACCGGTTACAGTGACCAATTTTAAGTTGCAAGAAAATTACATAAATTCACATCTTTATGTGAACGCATAATGTACATAAAACGACGTAAATTTCACGGATATCGAAACTCAAACACTCCGTTGATTCGATAAATTTACTGTGTTCTGCGCGTTTTATAAAAAAATATTTACCGAACGCGTAATTAAAATGAGGTTTTTTTTTTCAATCTTACAGAATCCCATAGAGTGCGAGTTCGATAAAGTTGCCGCAATGCGCTTGTTAATGCGGGAAAAACGACGAAACCTATAGTTTCCTGTACCAGGGTCCCATGCTCGCGGTGACGGCAACCGCGTCCGGTCACCGATAATGCGACGACGGTAAGCTCGGCGACCGATCGGACGTCTGCCGTCCGCATACAATTTCAATTTATACCCATGTTCCCCTGGTAATACGGAAGGGTGTAACGCAATCCGATTCTACCGGTCGACCGCGAATAATTCGCACCGAAAACGTGTAATATATATATATTATATTGGCAATTTTTTTTTTTTTTTATTTCACATGGTATTTTTTTGTGAAAAACATATATGGTGGTGCCTTTTCGCGGTTCCCACTCTCCGCTCGATATCTCTGGGCTTGAGCTACATGTTTTGAGATTAAAACAACGTGAAACCAAACGACATCGAACCGGCTGCCGAACGTTATTGCTGCAGACCCTCCCGGCCTAGTCGGTGAAAACAGCCATTATCGGGGCTACCCATCTGACAGGCGTATAATGTGCAAATATTCGCAAACAAATTTCGCTCTTTCATAAAAACGAAACAAATATATTGAAATTGAAGCGTTTAAAGAGGCATGAGAATTTTTCCCGTGAAACGATTGCCGTCCGTAAAAACGACCGTACTCGTTCCTACTTTAATGGAGTATAGACTATCTGCAACGTCTTACAATATTATCCGAATGCTAATAACCCTTTCAATGATCATTTTTATTTTTGCAATCAGGTTTTCAGTCAGGAAAACACGCACAGTTGTATAGAAAACTTAAATGTATATTTTTATCCCTTAAATCACTGAAAAAATAACTTTATTTTTCACTTTTTAAAATTTTAAAAATAGCCAATTTATAAAATACATTATTCTTAACATTTGAATGCACCATGCTTGCATAATCGATTAATAGTTTCTTAATAATAGCAGTTTCAATTTCTAGAAAACTGATGTGTCATTTGATTTTTAATAGAATATAACGTTACACGATAAAAAATCACTATCAGCACTTATATCTACTGTTGAATATTAATTGTTTTTATGTCTACGTTCTATACATTAAAACAGCGGTGCGCAATTATTTTGATCCACGGTTCCCAAATTAATTTATTTCGATGAGGCGACCCCCCTTCTATCAACATTACATAAGTGTATACATACATATATTTACCTGATATATAAAATAATATTATTGTCGTATAAATTTTAGGCAATTTTAAATTTTTGCGATTGATACGGGGGCTACCGGCGGTACAAGAAATATTACGTTTTATAAAATAATATGAATACATAATTTTCATTTGGCGTAAAAATATTAGCGACTCCTTGTTAAAATTTCGTGACCCACTTAGGGGTTGCGAACCCCAGGTTGCACTCCATTGCATTAAAGCTGCTACATAAATAAGACGCTTCTAATCGGATAGGAATGTATGACACATTCAAATTTTTAGAATAATATATTTTACAAAATGGCTATTTTGAAAATTGTAAATGTAAAAAATAAATTTTTTTTTTTCAGTGATTAAAGGATAAAAATAAAAATTTAAGTTCTCTCTACAACTGTGCGTGTCCTCCTAACACAAAGCCCGATTGAACAAAAATTTGTTTTAAAAAAATGAATATTGACAGAGTTATTATTAGCATTTGGATAAAATATTGTAAGACAACCTATATAGTAGATTTATACGTTAACGAAAATGGGGTAAATTTGAAAAACTAATTCCAACAGTGTTATTATATGAAATTCGGATGATTTTGGTGTCCTAAAATCCCTTCGGTCTCCCAAATTCCACCTATGCCACTCTTGCAAGTTCTTTTTATTTTGTCTTTCCCTCTGGGGCACTTTATTCGAAATAAAAAATTTTACATTCCCTACAGTTCTTAAAAGTAAAAAATTTAAATAAAACTTATGTGTGTACAGTGTACAACAAATGTTGATAATTACTTGTCCTCAGCCCCATCCAAGCTTTTTTTGATTTTCCCGAGGCAGGAGTGTTATACAAATTTTGGGACTAAGCATATGCAAATTCTTACGAATTACATACTAAATATCCGAAAAGGAAAAGTACAAAAAGTTGAATAAGTCTCCCCCTCCTGAGCTGGGGAAAACAACGTAATATCGATACATTGGTTTTATATTTGTCGACTTCCATGGATGTTACCTAGTAAAACATTGGCCTACCCACGGTGCAAAGTTGACAGGCTTTGTTAATATTCTATGTGTCTATACTGAAAAAAAAATTTAAAAACTCCCCATAAAAATGCCTATTCACTTTTAATGTAGAATACTATAATAAAATGTCGGAGGAATATTAAAATATTGCACGGCGGATTTGTATAAAATAATATGTGTGTATGTACAGGGTATTCTATTTAAGTGGACACACTCATTATCTCGGAAAGAAAATCATTAACTTTTTTCTGAATTTTTTTGTAGAACTTTTAAGAAGAAACAATCAGCTCTACAGTTTTATATTTATGTTATTTTTTGTCACCCTTATTTTTGGGGGTAAAACCACTACGTACCTCTGATTTTAAAATGATTACCTACGTATTAAAAACTAAACGGAACATTAGTTTAAATTAATTTTTGTATTAACATTTTTAGTTCCCATCGACCCGTTGATGAAATCATTCACTTTTAAGTCCTAAGTTTGCGTCGGGTGAAAGTAGTAAAGTATCATTTGTGTTGTGGCACGGCACGCAGCGTTTTTATCATGCACTACTTCTCTCCCTTAAAAATAGAATGCCTCACCAACGGGTTGACGGAGATAAAACATTTTTTCACCGAAATTTATTTTAACTTGTAATATTCCATCTATTTATGAAATGTTTAAAATAGATGAAAATCAAAATCAGATAGTGGTTTTACCTTCGAAAATAAGGGCGACCAAAAATAATATAAATTTAAAATTCAAGAGCTGCTTGGTTTTTAAATGTTTAATACATATAATAAATTCCGAAAAAAATTAAGTAATACTTTCCGAGATAATATTATAGTGTACCCACTTAAACGGAACACCTTGTATTTTTTAACGGTCGATTTGCCGGGGAACGCTATTATCGAAATAAAATGATTTTTTCGGTATTGAAGATGACGGTCGTGTTATCTCGACGGCAAGGCGTACCGGGACGGTGAATATTTCTACTGGTTACCTAATGGGACGCGTAACAGGCGCGGAAAAAAAAATTGTTACAGGACGTGATGACCGCTCGACAACAATAACCTCGGTTACCCAACGCGCTGTAAAAGTCAAAAGATTAAATAGGTATAGGGCGCAGAAGGAAAAAAAAAAAGAAAAAAATACCGAATATGCGTAATTCGATTTGCGTTACATAAATGATAATAATGTAACATTTTGTACGCGAGGCGGACCGGGGAGAAAAAAAAAATACGAGACTTTTTCGCGACACATAATTCGCGCTCGCCTATTTAAACGGCCCTGTAGGTGACAGCCGTTTTATTCGTGTGTGTGCTGTCAACGATTCAACTGGACTCGTGACGCATATTACTTATATATTTTTAAAAATTATCAACCGTTTTTAAGTTCCCTTCGGATTTTCGTTCGTGACAATAATAATATTATAATATGGCCCCGAACGCCAACGATATACCCGCAAACGTCGGCGTCAAACAGGTCCCGGTCGACCCGCTTGATGAAGATTTCGGCTTCCAGCCCGAAGATGTCGTCGTGTCCGGCTTTTCCGGTCGGTTCCCCGAGTGCGACAGCATCGACGAGCTCCGCGAAAACTTGTACGCCGGCGTGGACATGGTTAACGACAACCCGACCAGATGGCCTTACGGTAAGGAGCGGACACAGTGAATTATTAAGGGGCGGGATCGGGGAGACATATCTTCTCCTTGACAGTTTATTTTTCAGGAGTTATAATATGTACGCGTTAACGTTCGGGCGAATCGAATTATAAAATACTTGCGGAAAACACTCGTGTATAAATTTAAAATCGAATGTTTTTTTTTTTTTGTTTTAGCCTAGGTTGGGTTAGGTTAGCCTATCTCACTCCTGGGTAAAATCCTAAACACGCCAATGAGCGGACGGACCGGTCGACAGATAATTTGTCGACGTAATATTTTATGACACGGCGTTATTTTCTATACAGCTGTTAGGTTGATGAGTTTTCGGGTTCAAACGTCAAAACACTCTCGCCATAACGACCGCGGAGGAAAAAAATGCAAAATAAAATCCCACAAACGCCTGTTTATGCGATATTTTTCATGTATGAAAAAAATATGTCAGTTGAAAAGTATAAATATCATACGAGTTTCTTGGGATCATTTACTAACCCTGTTGAAATTTGACAGAAAATGATTTCGTATAAATAAACAACGTCTCGACGGTTCAATATGCAGTTTTTCTCGTTTTCATTGTACAAACTCGGAGTTTTGCGGTTCACTGTTAAATTCCATAAACGTCCACGTAAAAATATATTAATAACGGACGGCTGCATAAACGAATTATCGAATTCTTTTGTTTATCTCCGAAATTCTAAAATGCGATATCGTTGAGTTTATTTCTGTAAGACGTCTCCAATTATTATTGTGGATAAACGCGAAACATATTTACCGTTAGTTTTTTCTTGCAAAAAAAAAAATTTATTCACTTTTATAAATTGTGTTTTTCATAAATGTTTTTATTATTATTATTATTATTATTATTATTATTATTTTAACTTTTCTATTAACTGAATGACCTTTCGTTTAGTAGAACACGTAAAAATGTTCATTTCGATACGTTTTACGAAACTCAAATATATAATAACGTCGAGTCACGTCTTTAGCGGGTAGGGAGGAAGAGAAGAAGCATTTTTATAATAAAATATGTTTTCTAAAAAAATTTTTTTTTTAAATTTCGTATTTATAATTTTCTGTACATAGGCCTGTACGGCGCCATCATGAGAACCGGCAAGATGAAGGATATTACACAGTTCGACGCCGAATTTTTCCAGTATCCCCCGGCTCTTGCCGAACGTGCCGATCCGCAACAGAGAATGTTATTGGAAGTCGTTTACGAAACAATTATCGACGCAGGTATTCGATTGATTTTTTTTTTTTTTAAACAAACCATATTACTGTGAGTTCGAAAATGATAACGGAACACGGCTACGGTCTCGGGTCAATAAAAGGGCACACAATCGACAATTATTTACTAATTGGGGGGGAGGGAGTTTGTGCGACCAAAAGCACTGATAAGCATTGTTAAAACTTATCTTAGTCATCGGCCATGCATGCATTAGTAAAATAAATAACAAAGCGATACGTTCGATTAACGAAATCGCCGTCCACAAAAAATATTAACGATATTTCGTCCGAATAAAAAATGAAATGAAATTGAATAAATTTTCGTTCCGTAGGGATTCGAAAAAAAAAATCGTCTCCTCGTCAAGAAATCGCGTACTCTACGGTATATTTATTAGTATATATAGCAATTAGAACATGTTGATATTGTCACAATATGTTTTTACACGTTTCTAACAACATCGGTTATAACACGTTGTGAGATTATAAATATTAATTTTAAAATATTGTAAATTAAGTATTATTGGCATATTATGTTTTATTCCTCGTTCTAAATGATATTTAAAACAACATATTTCAAACGTTTTTTAAACATTATCGTGACAATATTTAAAATAATTACTGTCGAATCGCTCGTTTTGTAAATATTTTCCGACTTAATAAACAGTGGTCAATCCAGACAATTTTTTCGGGGGGGGAGAGGGCATTACTTAGATTATTGTAATGATTTTTTGCTTATATACCCTCTTACCGTTCAAATCTGTTTTATTGTTTAATTCATTATTAATTCACCCACATTTAACAGGAAGGCTATTTCCCCCCTGTCATATACCTGGATTCAACACCGGTCATAAACGTCCGTTGCCGAGCGTACCATCCTCCGACGTGAGCTCACCTAACTCGGGCGGTAGCGTTTCACGAACGCTTACCATTTTCGCCGTTTTCGGGGTTATTTTGCCCGTACACATGCGTTTTCGTCAGTTTAACGCTCACAATAATTTACCATAGCACTTGTTTTATTTCGCCGTCGCGGCACACAATCTTTTTTCAGTCGTTTGCGCCTATCGAATCGAAGATATGATTCGTTGGAGCCGTCAGCCTGATTTTTTGCGTTTTTTTTTCGCGATAATTTTTTTTATTATTGTTATAATAATATTTCTAATATATCTTCATTACACGGTTTTAATATTGCCACAAAATTAATTTTCAATTTTTTTTTATTTTTGAAACATTGGCACCGACAATAATGACGTATTGACAAGGCCCCTACAATATTTAAAATTAATACTGTCACAATATTCAGATGTATATTGTTAAAACATTTTAAAGAAATATTATTAACACATTTTCTCGGTTGCCATGGGTTATTGTGAAAACATTTAGAACATATTTTTACAGTAGGTATAAAACGAACCAATAAAACACATTGTGTCAATGTTAATATTTTTTTGCAGATTAGTTAAGGACATTGTGAAAATATAATATTGCTATATGTTTAGTTACAAATAGCACACGCATTATCGTTAAACTAAGTATTTAAATTACATAGGTACATACCTTATAATATACAGAAGGTCCACCATGTTCGACGGTTTTTTCTAGAGCTGTTAATACTCATATTTTTCAATTCGATATGCTTTTTTTTTTAAGGGGACGTGTATTTAGAGAAAAAATAAATTTTTGTTTTCATCTATCGCTAAATTTTAAAAAAAAGTTGATTTTCAATTTTAACAAATTTTTTAAAATTTCTATTTCGTAAAAGATATTCTAAAAATGTGTATACATTCACACTCAATCTATAGTTTTTTCACCGGTTTAATTCAAAACATTTTTAAATTTATAATACAATAAATCAAGTTATACTTTATCACGTTAGGCGGTATAGTCTTATTTTCACATCAAAACCATTTTTTTTTGTAATATTAAAAGCTCTAGAAAAATTCGTCAAACACAGTAGGACATCCACTATAATATTTATATATTCTTTTTACGGTGGATGGTAAAAAAAAACATTAATAGATTATAATACCATTAAACTATTTGATCCGAATAAAATATGCTGCGATAATCAGCGCTCGTGTTACAAATAAAATATGATTGCTTAATACTTATAGTTTTTTAATTTTCAATTTTTTTTTTTTTTATTTATTGTTTGTTACAATGTCAGTATAAATCAATATTACGATCATATAATTATAATGGTGAAAATTATTATTATGTAATTTTATTTTCGATTCATAATCTATAATATTACATATACGATTAGCAGATAATTATTGTTAAGATCCAATTTCAATGCGAAACGCCATATTTTTTCCAATGATTTTAAACAATGCTTTCCAAGTATACATAGTTTGATTCGTTTAACATCGAATACGTCAAACTTCTATTTGGGTCTTTTTTTTTTTTATTACATTTTTCATTTTTCATTTTCATTATTCATTATTTTAGCAATTTTTCAGCCATTTTTTTTCGTTATATTTCATATTCGTACAATAACACGAGCATAATGTAATATACTATTTGTACATAATACGATCATAAATTAAAATATATACTTGGTATGCATTGATACGACTTAATAATTTAAATTTAGACAATTCAGAATATTTCTCATGTTTTCCGAGTTTTCCAGTCGATCGGTCAAATACATCCCCCCAATCAATATTATCGTCACTAGTCACAAGACACATATTTTTCAATTTTCTGTTTTGTTTTAAATAAAATAAAAATATTATAAATTACTCAATAAAATAATAAATTTAAAAAAAAATATATATATATGCCATTTTCGCAGTAAAATTTATTTTTTAAAGACATGATTACCTTTTTTAGAACATTTTTCGATGTTTTTTAGTACATTTAAATCCGGGCTCTAATTATTATTATTATATAATTTTTGCTTTGCATAAGCCTTCAAGGCTTATCCGTATATCCCCGTTTAAGGAGTCCCGCTTATCGATACTTACCGATTTATCAACCACTCTTATATCCTGTTGATTTACTCTGTCTGGTTACCATGGAACTCGAAGCCACCGACACTTGGCCGTTTTCCGGATCAATTTTCGATCATCGCGTTTTTAATGAAACCGTTGTCGGCTCACCGTCGCACAATAGGTCCGGCCCACTCCGGTCGTTCGGCATAATATTAAAAAAATTTTAATTTTAGCTTAATATTATCCGATTAACATATGATAGGTACAATATTCAAATATGTACCTTTATAAACAGCTTATTTAGTAAAAACATACACACAGTGGGTTTCACGACGATCTGACACTTGAAATAACTTTTGTTCTATTCAATATTCTTAATATATATATATATACATATGTAGTTTAAATAAGTATAGTACATCTCACTACAGTTAATACATTACATTTTTTTTCGGCGAGAGATTTTGAAAGAAAACATTTTAAATTTTACTATATTTTATCAAATAAAATTTAAAATTGTAATTTTTTAAAATAGTTTTTTAGAACACTTTTGGTGGTTGAAACTTTTATTTAGGTATACGATCTTTTATTTTCTAAAAATGTTTGAAGTTTAGGCAAATATGAATATTATCCTGATTTATAATCCGCTATAATTTTTAATCAGAAGTCAGAGCACATCAAACGACAAGGAAATTTTTCAGTTAGTTCTTTTCAGAGTTAATATCATACAATAATACTACTGCGGACTACTGATTAAATAATATAATAGACTATGTAAACCACAATAATTTAAACGTTTGCGAAAAATTTGAAAAATAAAACACTATGCATAAACAAAAGTTTCAACCGCCAAAAATCTATTTTATTAAATGGCTATTTTTAATTTTTTTTTTTTAATTTACAGTAAAATTTTAAATGTTTTATTCCAAGTTCCCCTACCGAAATCAAACAAATTTAATATATCAAAAAAAATTGTTTCTATTGTTAAAATAGTAAAGGTATTATATTTAAAAATAGCTATCAAAAAATGAAAACGTGTCGCAACCTAAAATATATAAAACAAAACTAACTAATATAGATAACGTTCATTCAGATAATAATATTACAACAGTTTATTTGTTTTTGTTTTTTGAATACTATAATATTATTCGTCTTATTTTATTTTTTACTTGTACAGGGTGTAACAGAACTATTTAACATTTTTAGATTGTAGTTACATTTATATAGTCCAGTTACACCCTATGTATATACGAATCAACCCAAATATTTTATAAATTTAAACACACCCAAACGCATTACTTAGTTGTATTGTACATGGCGTTAATTTTATAAATTAATAATAATTTTGATCGATTTTTCAATGTTTTGTATTGATTCAAAGTTGTATCAGTATTGACAACCGTACTTGGTACGATACGATTACTAGTCTCTGTCCGACGATATTAATTTTACATTTATTTCGGGTTGTTTTTTTTGTTAAAAATCGAAATTATCATTTTCATTTAAATCTTCGCAAAACCGATACATTAATTTACACGAATTAAATTACACCGACATATTCAAATTACCTATGTTATTATGTAATTATCCAGGATTACATCCGATGGCTTTAAAGGGCACCCGTACCGGTGTAATCGTCGCTTTGTCGTCGAGCGAAACCTGCGATTGGTGGTCCAAAGACGGAGAGAAAGTCAACGGATACGAATACATCGGTACGTCGAGAACAATGTGCGCCAATCGCATATCGAACTTTTTCGATTTAAAAGGTAAACGAAACTATTTGAACAATACGCGTAGCTATTATAATAAACCATTATAATACCTATATCGAATAACAATTGATTATTTGTTGGTTAATTAACTTTGTTTATCGATCATTGTCATCAGGACCTAGTTATTCCATCGATACGGCGTCTTCGACCAGTTTGATCGCTCTCCACCAAGGGTTCAAGCTCATCCAGGACGGCGTTGTCGATAACTGTATTGTAGGGGGTACCGATCTCGTACTGAACCCCACCGTTTGTCTCATGTTCCAAAAATTGAACATGTTGTCGCCCGGTGGCAAGTGCCGATCGTTTGACGCTGAAGGTATATGATGCACATTTGAATTTTGATATGATTATCGTCAGGGCTCGGAAATTTATAAGGATTTAAGCGATCAAAAACGTCGAAAAAGACTTGAAATTGCATTTAGAAAAAATTATTTTTAAAATGAACGTCACAGTAGAATCGCTCCCCGTATAATCCTCTTAAGTAAAGAGCCTCCCTCAAAATTAAAAAAGCCCACAAGGGAGCAGTACAGTCCACGTTGAGAACCACTGCTCTAAATTATATAAAAGAAATGTTTCAAACACTAAAAAAATTATTTACCCAAGTTTTTAAATAAAATTGTATGTATTATAAAAAAAATATTTTGTGTTGATCGTTTTTGTAGTATTAGAAAATTGCATTTAACGCTCAGAGCTGTTACGAGGGGAGGAGAAAGTGCAAATATTTGGTTTTTAAATATTTTGTCAGGGTTCTTTTGACGTTTTTAAGCTGTTTTCTGTAGATTTCATATGCATAGAGTTCTGAGCCCCGATTATCGCGATAATTCACAAAGATTCCAAAAATTAAACAACGTGTATTTCTATACAGAAATTCTAATCAAGTGATATAATATTATCATATAGGTGACGGATACGTACGGTCGGAAGGCGCCATCGCGGTGTTGTTGCAAAAAGCCAAAGTAGCGAAACGTATCTACTCCAGTATCTTGAATACCGGTAGCAACGCGGACGGTTACAAAGACGACGGTATCACTTTCCCGTCGCAGGAAATGCAAATTTCCCTGTTTCAACAAGTCCAAAACGAGATCGGCGTCAACGGCTCGCATTTGTCGTTCATGGAAGCTCACGGATCCGCTACTAAAGTGAGGAGCCATGTCATAAATAAATTTTAGGATTTTCTTTTTCTTTTTTTTTTTAACAAAAATGTATTTATATGTATGCGTTATGTTTACTAATAGGTAGGAGACCGTCAAGAAGTCGGTGCCATTGTCGAAGTATTCTGTAAAGGCCGAAAATATCCACTGCCCATCGGCGCACTTAAATCCAACATGGGTCATGGGGAACCGGCATCCGCGTTGAGCGCCGTCATCAAGGTCCTCGTAGCTATGGAATGCAGACTTTTGCCACCCAACTTGCACTACAATATCCCGAATCCGGACATCCCGGCCTTAGTAGACGGGAGATTATCCGTTAGTATTAGCAACTATGGCCATTGTGGTTTGTTTTACCATATTAATGATATTGAACATTTCGTAAAAGGTCGTCACCAAAGTAACACCGTGGAACGGTGGTATCGTGGCTGTCAACTCTTTCGGAGTCGGCGGTGCCAACGGACATTGTTTAATGAAGTCGTACACCAAAGAGAAGGCCGGCCCGATAACTCTGGAAGAACAACTGCCCAGACTGGTGATCGCGTCCGCCCGAAACGAAAGCGCTATCAAATTCATGATAAACAGAGTACCTACAATATACCAGTCTACTCAACATATTCGCATTAATTTCGTTTCTAAAAGTATGTGATTTTACTTTTTTTATTAGATCGACCAAATGCCCAGAGACAAGGAATTCTACGCTTTGCTGTACGGAGTTCAGAGCGAAAATATCGTCGGTCACAAGTACAGAGGATACATTCTGTTCAACGGAATGTACGATAAAACTCGTCAGTATGCGGTATGAAAACAATGTGAACAGAAAAAAATCCAACAAAACCTTTATAACTATATCTTGCCGTATCTGATTAAAGGCGTACAACGGTCAAAAGAAACCGGTTGTATTCGTTTTACCGGGCGCCGAAACAAACTGGGGTGACGTGGGCAATCAGCTACAAAAGTTGCACGTGTTCAAAGAGTCTATCGCGCAGAGTGCGAGCGTGTTGGACAAGAAAGGATTCAATTTGTATTCCGTACTGAAATCGACGGATCCCGTAGCGCTCCAAGACCCGCTGTTGTCAGTGGTCGCCTCTACCGTTATTCAAGTATTGTTCTTTTCTTATGCTTTCCCAATAATTATAGAAAAAAAATCACGATAACTGTGGTAATTTGTACGTTTGTAAAATATTTTTTGTGTAGGTGGCACTTTTGGACGTCCTCGCGAATCTGAAAATATCGCCGGATTACATTGTAGGAGAATCGTTCGGCGAACTAGCCGCCGCTTACGCCGAAAATGTTTTGACCGCGGAAGAAGCCGTTTTGTCGGCTTACGCAATCGGAAGCGTGTTGGCCGAGGCGAAAATCGCTGCGTCACAAGACGTGTCGAAAGTCACCAAACAATTGCAATCCGCATTGCAGTCTGTGAGTATACAGTCACCGAATCGATTTTACCATAAGGGTTCTTTTACGGTTTTTTTTCTCCCCCCCCCCAATCACAGGTCATCGCACAACCTAAATCGATTTCTTCTCGCTGGGTTAGCGCCTCGCAAACGTTGGGAAGCCAGCCGCTGACATCCGCCTACTTTGTAGGTTTAGCCGCGCAGTCCACACTCCAGGCACGTATAACATTGATTATTCAGTACATAATGGCGAACGATTTCGCCAAACTAATATTATTAATTTCTATTACGTTCGATTATAGGATTCGTTGGCGAAATGTCCGGCCAACGCGATTTACGTTCAAGTTCTCGGCCAATCGAAAACCGAAAATTACTTTGCCGACAATTCCAAAGACGGCGCCGTAACCGTGAATCTGGTCAAGGACGCCAACGACTCGTACAAGCAATTGTTGTTGAGCGTCGGAGAGTATGTTAAACGATGAATATTTATTTTTCAATACGGGAGTTATATAATGTCCACGTTATAATACTATTTTGTAGGTTGTTTAACGCGGGCCTTCAACCGCAAGTCGAACACCTGTATCCGCCGGTGAAATTCCCCGTATCGGCCCGTACTCCGATGATACAATCGTTGGTCGAATGGGATCACTCAGTCAAATGGGACGTCATCGGTTTCCACGGCAAGGTATCTATAATGAAATATTTAAACACTAATAAAAATTTACGAATTGTGAATGAACGAGTGTGTCCGTCGATATTATAGCCCCCTTCCACCACCGGAGAAGTTGTATTGAACGTAAACGTCGATTCGGACGAATACAGTTTTTTGAAAGCCACCAAGATCGACGGTTTGCCCATTATACCTTACGCCGGTTATCTGGTGAGTCTTTTTTTATTATACGAATTATTAACATTGTTTTTAGGTATATATCGGTTTATTCGTTTGATTTACGTACATTATAGGCTTTGGTATGGAAAGGTTTTGCTGAACTAATGCGACGAGAACCGGAAGAGATCGCGGTTGTGTTCAACAATGTAGAATTCTTGAGGAAGACGGTTGTCCCAGAAGAAGGTACGTCGGCAATTATTATACATTTTGTACATAGTATATTAATTTGTACACTGATGACAAAACTGATATTATTAATCGTATAGATCCGATCAAGTTTGTTTTGAGCGTATTGGTGTCAGGAGAATTTGAACTCAAAGAATCAAACGATATCGTAGCCTCCGGTCAAATCAGCTTGTCAACTACCATTGATAAAGAGTTGTTAAATTTGGCAGCACCCAAAACGAAAAAGGATGAATTCTTACCGTTAGAGTCGGCTGAAATTTACAAGGAATTGCGTTTGAAAGGTTACGACTACAAAGGTCTATTCAGAGGCATCCAATTGATCGATAACACTGGTACACAAAATATTTAATTAATTAATTTTGTTTTTAGTTTTATAATTGTATACGTAATATTATTACTAAATTTCAAACTAAACAATGATGTGATTTAAAAAAAAAAACACATTGTTTTAGGATACAACGCCAAGGTATCGTTTAACGGAAATTGGTTCGCATTTTTGGAAAATCTTTTCCAAATACCGATATTCCAATTGAACAATTACAATTTACACGTTCCGAAATTCGTAAAAAAAGTAGTCATCGATCCGTTGAGGCAAACAAATCAAGCAGAAAGTCTATCAAATGGTAGTAATATAATCGTATTGATAATAATATTCATTAAATGTCAAAGAAAACACCTAATCATTTTTAATATTTTTTACTTTGCTAGTGATACCGGCTACTTATTACAAGTATGTCGATGTTATTAAAGCCGGAAGCGTTGAAGTCCGGGGATTACAATTGGAGCAAGTCCCGTTGAGAAATAAAGGACAAAAAGATCCCAATTTGGAATTTTACACTTTCCAACCATACGTTTCGGTCAAGGTAAATAAACAATAATAATACTGTGGAACGTATTTAACACGATGATAATTTTCTATCTCGCGTTTACTACCTACGTATATTTTCAGCCCACGGTATACGCTCTGGACACATGCGTTCAATTGGCGTTGGAAAACAGTGGCGGAGCTCTTAAGTTGAAGGTAGCCGAAGTGGGTACTGGCAGACAATTGGAATCGCTGTACGCTAAGACCGTCATCGACGTTATCAGCACCGAGCCGATACCCAGCGTAAGTGTACCTGTAATATAAAATTATAAAAACAATTAAAATATTATATTTTACCATGTTGAATTTGCGGGTGTCAATGACAGGCGGAAGTGACCGTGTTCACGAACAATCCTGCCCCGATTACGGAACAACTCGAGGAATTCGGTGTCCGCGTAACGGAAAAAGACGTGTACGGCTCAGAAGCCATAGATTCCAATTGTAATCTGGTTATTGCCGTTGACCAATTCAGCAATGCGGGTTTGGTGAAAAACGCCATCGACAGCTTGAAAGTCGGCGGGTGCGTGTTGTTCGTCGAAAGCAAAAAACCGTCTGAGCAACAGCTCAACTCGACGGGACTGGTTCTGGTGGCAAGCTTACAATCACAAGACAATAAAACATTCGTTCTCCTCCGAAAGGTTAATGAAAATCCAGTAGTAATTTAAAATCATGTATAGAAAACGGTTCAAAGAATCAGTAATGACTTTACGATTGTATTCGATTCTGTAGACTGCAGTGTACAGGTCCGAGCCAATTGTGGTCAACTGCTCTGGCAAAGATTTTTCCTGGATCGAAACGTTCAAATCGGCACTGCAACAAGCCGAACAAGAAAACAAACAATTGCTTTTGGTCAGCCAAGGCGTCGAATACTCTGGAATATTAGGTTTCGTGAATTGCGTCCGCTTGGAAGAAAACGGAAGTTCGCTGAGGTACGTATTTCCTATAACATATAGATATCGATCGTTTTTCCCATAATAGGCACTCCTATATATATATATTTATATTATAATATTAATATCGTTTAATGAATCCAGATGTCTATTCGTCGAAGACCCGAAAGCACCGAAATTTTCGTTGTCATCCGATTTCTATCAAAAGCAGTTGAAAAAAGATTTGACGGTCAACATTTACCGCGACGGTGTTTGGGGCAGCAACAGACATTTCCTACTGGAAGACCAGTCTAGCAACGCGCCCGTGCCTAAAGAATACGCATACATCGCCCCGACGAAAGTCGGCGACTTGTCGACGTTGAAATGGATCGAAGGACGTCTGCAATACTTTAAGTAAAATACGCAATATAAATTTATACCGAAACGAAAACTATCTCGAGTCGTTTTCAAACATAATTGTTTTTTACTAAACGATCTTCTGGTTTTTAGTCCTCAAGACCACCCTGGACGGGAATTGTGCACCGTGTACTACGCGCCGATAAACCACATGGACGTCTTGTTCGCAGACGGTTCTTGGTTGCCGTTCTTCAACGCGGACACGGCCAATCAGGGCGCTTATCTGGGCCGTGAATTTGCCGGCCGTAACACCAAAGGACAGCGCGTGTTCGGTTTGGTGTCCGGCAGCGCATTGGCCACGCACGTGTTGGCCGACAATTCCACTCTGTGGGAAGTCCCGGACAAATGGACTCTCGAACAAGCATCCACCGTTTCCGTCGCATACATACTGGTGAGTTACGGCGATGAATTGAATTACGATCTATTAAACAAAATTTAAAAAACGGCATTTATGTATATTATTTTAGGCTTATTACGGGTTGTACATACGCGGTAAAATCCAACCGAACGAGTCGGTATTCCTTAACGCCGGCACGAATTACACCGTTTTGGCCGCGCTTAACATCTTGCAAAACAGCAACGTGACCGTTTACGTTGCGGTGGACAACGAATCGCAAAGACAATATCTACACAAGAACTACCCCAAGGTTCGCCGTACAATACCACGTGTATCTCGTGACATTTTATTTAAATGGGTATCGTTTTTTGATTGTTCAGGTACCCAAGGAGAATATTGTCAGTAGCAAATTCGCGGAACAAGAGATCCTTGAGAAGACCAACGGTAAAGGCGTGAACGTTATTTTCAACACGGTCGAATCCACCCCGTACAAATTACAGAGTTTCATTCATACCGTCGCGGAAAACGGCCGTGTTATTGAATTCGAAAAACAAAAACAAGCCATCGAATCTATCGGTAAGTATTTATCCACTCGCGCGATTGGGTAAACTTAATAAAACTATCCAGTCCATAATAATTCTACACGACATTATATTACATCGCGCAGGTGTTACCGGAAACCTGAGGAACATTACAATTGTAAAAATGAACTTGAAGACGTTATTCCAAGGGAAATATTCGCTCTCCGACAAACAGGAGCTTCACAAGCTTATCGCACAGGGTATCAAATCTGGCAGCGTACAGCCGTTGCCTGCGAATGTTTACACTATTGACCAAAACTTAAAAGATGCCTTCGAGTGAGTCATTCTATGATAATTGTATTTTAATACATAGTATTATTATTTAATTAAATACGTTTTTAATAATCACGATGTTTACCGTTTGTATATTATCCAGTGTGACTGTTAGTTTCAACTATTACGGTAAAATTGTCCTCAAAGTTCGCGACGAAGAATCGAAAAAAACCGTCGTTCCGGTACCCAAAAAAGTATTGGCCGTACCGAAGACTTTCGTCGATCCGGCCAAAGCATACGTCGTAATCGGTACCTCTATTATAACGCTGAATTTCATTTCCTCTTCTTGTCAATCTAGTTTCTAATTTTGTAATTATTTTATTTAATTTGAAGGCGGTTTGAACGATTTCGGTCTACAAATGGCAAACTTCTTGGTGACCAGAGGCGCAAAGAAACTGGTGTTGGTTTCCGACAGCGGAGTTAATTCCGGATTCCAATCTCTGTTCATCAGAAGATGGAAAGAAAGCGGCGTCGACGTCGTTACCGTTGTATACGATACGACCAAACCCACCGAAGCCGAAGCCCTGTTGAAGGAAGCCAACAAACTGGGACCCGTCGCCGGAATATTCCAACTGGAAGACGTATTGCACGGCGCCACGGTTTCCGACCTGACCGCGTCCGATTTCAGCTCGGCGATCGACAAGAAATTCGCGTCAACCATCAATCTCGACGTAGCCTCGAGAAAATTATGTCCGCAACTCGAGCGGTTCTTCGTCTGGTCCTCGGGAGCTTCCGGTCACGGCGCAGCCGGCCAAGCCAACTACGGTTACGCCGACGCAGCACTGGCGAAAATATCCGAAGCTCGACAAGCCGCCGGCTACCCTTCGGTAATTAATTATTGATTATCCGACGTTATTATTATTATTGTACAATGCAATAACGTATTATGTTGTCGTACGAACTTTCAGACCGTTGTCGAATGGGAAGCCATCGGTGACGTGGGCCCGGTGTACGAGTCCTCCGGCAACAACGACGCAGTGGTGGCGGGCGCCTTACTCCAAAGCGTCGCGTCGTGTTTAAACGTCGTCGACAACTATTTGCAACAGTCTTACGCCGTCCTCTCGAGTGCCGTACTGGTCGACAAGAAGGTGGCCAACGTCGAATCGGCTTCCACCGGACCTATGTACGCCGTCGCCAAAGTTTTAGGTAATTCTCGCTTACTTATCATGATACACCATTATACATGCACGCTCTTTTTCATCGGGCCGCCCGACTAAAACGAACGCGTTTCCCGTCGATTGCAGGTATCAAAGATCCGAAGACCGTTTTGGGCACGTCCACGTTGGTCGAACTCGGTTTGGACTCGTTGTTGGGAACCGACATCAAACAGGTGCTGGAACAAGATTTCAACATCGAGTTCAGCGCCAAAGAAATCAGAGAGTTGACGTTCAACGTGCTCAAAGAACTTTCGGCCAACTGAACGCGTCCGTATAACAACCTAATAATATAATATTGTAATAAATTTGTTTGTTGCGCTCGATTGAATTGTATTAATTTGTTATCCGTGTAGTCTATCTCAAAACTCATAGCTAATTTATGACATTGTTTTCGGTAGATTGTGCACCATGCGAATTAATGGTATTATATAATAAATATATATATATATATAGTTATATTTTGTAGCGTATAATCAAATACATAATATATGAATAAATCGTTTTATTGACTCTTGAAAAAGCATTTGCGTTCATTGTTATTTAATTATTTATTTATTTGTTTAACATCAAAACATATGCATATTATACACAACAAAGTTAAACATGTAATGTTGATACCTACTCCCTTTAAACAATGCTTGTGGTGAGAGCAGGGAGTCTTACTTTACTTCAAGAATAAAAATAATATTAATAGTACGTATTGTGTAAACAACACAATAATAATTAATGTAATATAATATTAAGAAATGACATAATAATCTTTTCCGATGACGTATTCAGTATACATAATAGAAACAATTTATTCAACAAATTCAAATTGACTTTATTCAAATTATTCAACAAATAGAGGAAATAAAAATGAAAGAAATCAATTAAAGTGCTATAAAAGTCGGCATTAGAAATAAAAATTAAAAAAAATAACAAAAACAAAGATTCGTAAGATAACAGGAAGAAAAATTAGACATTAGTGAAATAGATTTTTGAACCTTTTCGTTAACACAAACTTAAATTTTAAATCGCTGTCAATTACTTTCATATAACTAGGTAATTTATTAAATAATTGTATGTTCCTATAAACATCAAAGAGTTTTATTAAATTATTGTTTGGTTTAATTAAAGCTAAATTTCCATTATTTGTATTTCAAGTAGCTAATGTGTACTTTGATTTAATTTAATTTCATCGTTTATTAATTGTTATTATATCTTATTTACCATATAATTTACAAATGTTCAATTATTTAAAAATTTTAAATGTATCATCTGTGTGATTATTTTCATTATAAAAATCTATATAGATAATATGTTTCAAAATGACACCAGGTTTCCAGTATAAATAATATAATTGGATGCTTTGTCGATAATAGTTCGTACTGCGAACCGATCGAATTAGTGGAAAAACAATTTAATGGTAATATAATGATATTATGTCGGATCTAAAGTTTTATACGTTCAAATTTATTAATGTTTCACTGATATTCATACAAAATCGAATTTTTTTACAGACGAAATTCGCTTAAAATACCATTTACTCGAAATGATCCACTCGTTTAAAATTTTTAGGATTTTTAAATGAGTGAAGGAGGGGGAAGTAAAAATCCGTCATAACATTGTGGGTGTTTTGCTCGTTTTCTCCAAGCTCCTTTTACAGGATTCAAGATAAATGCATTGATCATGGATAGGCCACTGTTGTAAGAGTGAAATTAAACAGATAATATATATACATTATGGGGTTGGCCAGAGATAACTTAATGTATAATAAATAATTAAGTGCATTTTTTAAGGAATTTTTACTGGATAGCAAAAATAAAAAAGTTTGAGATCATTAAATTACTTCATTATTTTACATATAATGGAATTTTACGTTTATCGTTATAAATGTATAATAGTATATTATTATAAATAATTATTACTAATTTTCTATAATTATAAATACCATACTTCGTATTTAATATCGAATAGGTATCCATACTATATGACAATATAGTACAAACTTATTCATCATTCATTATTTAATTATTTTTCTAAAAATGTTTTAAAAATAATTCTTATGACAACTATTGTGTGTCACCCAGTCATTAAAAATACAATCAACTAGGTGCAGATAACTTATTTTCACTGGGTGACATTTGTATCGCCTAGTTTAATAGTTAAAAAATACACTGATTAATAATTGTCATCAAATAAAGAATCTGAGTGAATTTTGTTTTACCATATTTTAAAAATCTAAATGAACTGAAAATTACATTAATTTGTGTAAAATAAATTACGATTTTTCTTATTCTCAAATTGTTGGACATCTTTTGAGCTAAAACGAAACGGACATACTTCGCATGACGGATGGGCCACTGTTGTAGGTGAGAAGTTAGGAAGATAGAGGGGAAATCGAATGTATACCTGTACGCAATGATCAATCACCGATAATGAAAAACGATTCGGAGTGAAGCTCGGTTATACATGTTTTGAATATTTACAGTTTTCGTCAAAATTTGATATTAAATTTCTTATAAAAATAATTCTACATAGCACTACTCTACTTTTCTTTTTTTACAACTAAAAATGAACCTCCTGGTAAATTTTCAAACATTTCTGTTTGAGCTAACAATTGTTTCCACAGATTTCCAACCGAATAAAAATTACGTAAAAATCTTGCAAAATTAAATTGTTTATAAATAACTCAAAAATGGCTCAAATGTTTTAAAAATTTTACCACGTCTATAAAAAGCAAATATAATGTTTTAACCCAAATTTCAAATCTCAATGAACATTTTTAACTGAATCACAACAAAACACAAAAGTGAAAATAATACATTTCGTAAATTTGCCCATTATCCCAACGGTTTTTTCCAATTATTATTAAAACCCCTGGGAAAATCAAAAAATGACCTCCCTAAAATACCACCCAATTATATTTTTCTCTCAGAAAACATACTACACTTAAAACATCGGATTAATATTTTTGATAGAAAAGTTGTCTACAGATAAAAATAAAATAATAAAAATCATCAATGCAAAACCGATACATTCCTCGCTTTGTTCAAAATCTGAAATAATGTAATCAATTACTATATTTTTGTTGATTAGGTATCTATATATTTATTGTATACATGATGTTATTTTTGTCGTTCGTATATTATTTGAAAAATACACGTATCTACTTATACTGGGGAGTATTTAGATTATTTTTTTTTTTAGGAAAGGGCTGGGTATTTTCCCCAATCCAACCTATCAATAACAAGAATACATTGTATACATTGTATACATTATCATACGGGAAATTAAACTTTAAACCGGACGTCCGTACGTTTTGTAAAATCAAAACTTTCTCATCGTCACTTAGATTTCGTTTATATTCGACATAACGTTCTATACGTCAAACTCAGAATCTAAACATTTTAAACTAGGATCAATTACCGAAGAAGCAACTGGTGTACTTGGAGCAGTTCATTCTATTTCGAATGTTGTCATAGTATCAATATCTTGGGAAATATTCAATGTTGATGGAACTGTATTGTCGGCGGAGACTTTAGATTTTTGTTTTTTTTAAAAAAAAACAGCAATGATAGTTGAGTTATTTTCATTATGATTAGGTATATATTGTTATTTTATTTAACCAAGAAAAAAAAAACACTCGTTGCGCTGCACTATGTGTCTTAGTATTTAGATTCGATACTAAACGTATTCATCGGAACGACAAATAGTGCACCTAACAAACTATACAACTTAAAAAATAGCGATAAGAACTATACGACAAAAACTGACCATCGCACAATCTGTCAAGAATTTTAGACGATAATAAAATAGACTTCCCGGAATGTTTAGCTCGCCAGATAACTGCATGATCAAAGGATTCTGGGTAAAACAAGGCAGCAATTCCGCACGTCAAAATTACGTACCGTGTACTGGGCTAGACGATCAAAATTGTCGGGTACATTAGTGCATATTACATGAATAATATCTCGTTACTAAAATTCTTAATACAATATTATACTGGAATTTTACGATTTACATTTAATTGGACACAAGCAGACTTGACAAAATTCCCTGACATTTCGGGGAGGGGGGACTGCGGCGCCCTCAGCCCTCCACGCCCACAAATACGATCCTGTATATAGGTACAACCGAATATGTTTAAGCGAATTCATTTTGAAATCTATTGCATTTACGGTAATTATAATAACGATTAAAACCGAAAGTCCGCCGCCGTAAAAATAACGAATGAAAAAAGACGGACATATTTCGCACGGCGGGTGGGTCGCTGTTATACGAGGGAAGTTATGAAGATACAGGTGAAATTTAACGTATATCAATACGCAAATATTAACCATTGCAAACGAAAAACGATTCAGAACAGAGTTCGATTGATAGTAGTTGCGTGTCCTCGGCGCCCTCGACTCAAATTTTTGAAATTCCAAATGAGCCATTCGTTTGTGCTTTTTATCCCGACATTTGTGCTTTCGCCATTCCGGAAATATCAAACTTTTGAAATAGGTGTGTCGGGAACATGCTCGGCACCCCCGCCTCAAAATATATTATTATTATATATTGACTTTGACAAAATTTGTTTAATATTTTATCTTCCTTACCTGACCTAACCTTCCCGTTTGTTGGGAAAACTCATGGGAAAATCTAAAAAATGACCTCCCTAAAGAACCACTCCGACAGGATTTCCTCTTAGACAAATTGTCACACTTGTAAATCGGATCAAAATCACAGGCAGAATAGTCGTCCGCAGAGAAAGAAAAAATAAACATCATTATTAAACCGATTTATTATATGCAGGCCGCTGAACGGGCACGCGGGATTGTCGGCGTTTTAAAATATAATGATTGCGGTGCGCTCGTCGCGTGATGCGCACAATGTTTTACGGTTTGTGCGCTTGCGGAGGAAAAGGAAGTAGAGGTGAAGGAGGAGGAGACCGTCGTCGAGACGGACTGCGCGCCGCAAAGGAATCGGTCGCGGAACCGTCGGGTACTGCGCCGGTGTTCTCGTCGTCGTCCTTTATCGTTAGAGCCGCAATTGAATAATAAAATATTATAATAACCGCAAACGAGCCTTTTGCTCGGCGGGCGTTTCGCGGATTAAATTTCTCAGGCGAATTGATCGGCGGCGGCGGCGGCGGCGGACAATACGGTTTCGGGCCCCGCAAGGACTGTCGGGAACGAGCCCCACCGCCGCGGATCCGCGACTCCCGGCGTACGCGGTACGCAACTTTCGAACCGCCGCGGTCCAATTCAGTCGTCGTCGGTCGTGTTGCGGACCGGTT